TTCCCTACAAGTTTAAAGATGTGACAAGAGAAACTACATAAACTGTTGTGAGAGAGAGAGAGAGAAGAAGGAAAGTTGAAGGAGGGAAGTAGAAGTTTGGGTTTAAGCCTGTGGAGGCTTTTTTATGGACTGGTCATTGAGATTGGTGTGGTGGCAATGATATTTTAATGGGAAAAAAATGAAGAGTTGCATTAATGAGAGGGTAAAATAGCAGTGAGCAAAGAGGTGTTGTCTTTATGCAGTTTGCAATCTGTCTGTGTAAGTGTATGAAATGTTAGAGGCATTTATACCATCTTACATTACATGCTCCTTGACTCAGTGTCAAACACAAAACACTTTTCCTTTGAATATGCAAAGGGAAGTCAAATTAGGAGGGAAAGACCAAAGGAACCCTCTTTTTTTTTCTTTTTTTTTTCTCTCTCTATATACCTATCTATCTATATATATATATATAGGGATTGGGGTTTTTTAATCTTCCACTTGGGTCAATTTGAGTTCACATTTTGTCTCTCGTATCACTATGGTCTAAAACATCATGATCCCTTTGTTATGTCACTATTGGTGTCTGTTTTGTGCAGGCTTAAACCATTTTCACGCATTGAATTTTCAGCTTCCTCTGCTCTGCTCATTTCGTCATCGCCACATCTTCTTCTGCATTTTAGATAATTGGGACCACTTTTACAAACCCTGAAAGTGAAAAAGGCTAAACATGTTTGCTGTTCTTTTAATGTCACAATAATTTTCTTGATGCTTTCTCATGAAATTGGGAAAAAAAAAAAAGAATTTTTTCTTTTAAAACTGTAAACCAAATTCTAACATGAGTTGCAGAATGTAACTTAAGTATTACATTTGAAGTAATATAAACTGTATTTTAAGTTCGAATGTTATTAGTATAATATTTTGATAATAAAGAGAAATAAAGTATGAAGAGTTCCTCATGGCGGAGATAAGAGAATAGTTATCAGAGAAGACTTATATCTGTTTTTTTTATTTTTTTTACATAAACTAATAAAAGAATTAATAAATAAATAAATCAATAGTTGTATTTTTCTACAAATAATGTAATAACAATTTTTAAAATTATATTATTAAGGATATAACTCAACAGAAGATAATTAAAACATTAAAAAACTAAATGATACTTATTTTGATATTTTTTTTTCTTCTTACATGATATTTATTATTATGAAATAGAGAATATAATTTTTTTTATAATAATTATTATAAAAATCAATAAATTTATCATAATACTACATTCGACTATAAATGAGAATAGGTCACACTTTGAATATATAGATTCGGTATGTTTTATAAAACTAAAGATCAAACTTGATCTATTATCTATTGTATATATTTTTATAGATAAGATGTAACCTTATAAAAGTTTGAGTAGATTTATTAATTTATTTAAAATTCTATTTCATATTAACGACGCTAATTAGGCTAATAATTTTTAAAGAGTCAATAAATCAATTTTTAAATATATTACTATGAGTTATTTTTTAAATTTATGTGATAAAGAATTATTTACTTAATATTATTAAAATTTAGATTTTTAAAGAAATATATACAATATTACAAAAAGAAAAAAAATAAATATATTTTTTTTAGAGAAATAACTCATACATACTCATGTTTGTTGATGTACATTCGGATTGTAACATTTAATGAAAAAAATAATCTTATTCTTGTAAAAAAAAAATCTTTTTAAATACTTTTTATATCTCATTTGTCATATTCTAAATAACTAACTCTTATTTTAACAAACTAAAATAATTATGATAATATATTAAAAAGATACCCATTGTACATTAAATGATTTTAGAAATATATATATATATATATATAATGTCACAAAGAGATAATAGAAGAAATCATATACAATGATGTACAATAGATGTAACTACTAGAGTTTTTATTATTGATTTATTGATTTTGTATGAACATATTGAATATAACATTTAAGTAGAACGATAAAAAAATATTGATATATTTTTTTCACTACAAGAATGTTTCGATTTAGAGTCGGTCAAAAGCCGATTCTAAATCATAAAAATCGACGTAATATAGTCGATTTTTAGACGATACTAAATAAGTCGACACAATTTTTTTGTGTCGGCTAAGCTATCACTAACAAATTTATTTATTTTAATTTTTTATTATCGGTTAAGCCGACACTATGTCGACACAAAATTTATTTTATTTTATTTTTTATCTTCTTTTTTCAGCTTATCATTTATTCGTTCATATTTTTAACATTCCTGGAACTCGATTCGTGAATCTTGAGGTCTTAAGTGAACTTGATAATCAAGTGTACTAGAACACATTATGCGTATATAATATTGAAAAAATTATCTTTATCTCTTTCAAAGCACGTATACTGTTGGAAAAGTTGACGCTATTTTAAGATGTAGCGTCGAATTTTTCGACACTAAATTTAAATTAAGTTTAGTGTCGGAAAAGCTGACGCTATTCTTTAAATATAGCGTCGGTTTTTTTGACACTAATTTAATTTAAATTTAAATTAAATTAGCGTCGAAAAAACCAACACTACACCTTAAAATAGTGGTGGCTTTTCCGCACTATTTGTATCAGCTATTAACCTCCGCTTATTTTTCGCCGCTTATTCACCGTTTTCTTGTAGTGTTTGTTTTATCAATTTATTTATTTATTTATATTGTTAACATTATATATATATTATACATATAAATAAGCTAGTCTATTAAGTCTAATAATGAACTTTTTTTTATAAGTCTAAGCCCAACTTTTTTAAATAAATTAATCTTTTTAAAAACTTAAACTTGACATCTTTATAAAATAAATTAGGTTAGATTAGATTTTAAAGATGTCACGTCATAAATTCCTGTTGACCTATTCTCATTCTTACATTTAGTCTTAATTATAAGTAATATATAACAAATAATTAAAACTAAAAAATAATTAAGTTAATTATTTTTAATTAATTCTCCCATAAATTTAAATTTTATTCCAAAATACCTTTTGCTTTAAATGAATATTGTTTTTAATGTTTATTATAAAGTCAATACATAGAAAATAAAGCTAAAAATAAATTAAGAGTAGAAAACAAATTTATCTTTGAGTAACTTTAAAGACTTATTAATTACTATCTTTGTTCCTTTTTAATTGACTATTTTTAATAAAATTTTATTTTTATTTATTTGTCATTTTCAAAGTTTAAGAATATATTAATTACTATTTTGTCAATTATACTCTTACATCTCACCTATCTCTTAATTAATTTATACTTACAATTAACATCTATTTATTATAGAACCAAAATGAAAATAATAATAATAATAATAAATATTAAAAATATTGTATAAAAAATAGAAAAAATTTATCATATTTCTTGAAAGTAATATTGTTTATAAGTAAAATCATTGTATAATAAACTCTAAATGACTATTAAAAAGAAACGGAAATAATATTGTTTATAATTAAGAAAAAATCTAATTTATTATTTATAATTATAATATCATACCTATATATAGTATAAAATTAATGTATTATTATTTATTTATAACTAAACATGCAAACGAGTAAAATCTTTATACGATAAGAAAATTGACTTATAGTGATGAATATAAATTGTCATTAAAAATAATAAATTTATAGATAAATATCTATTTTACATTTACTCAGAGACAATCTATTTATCTATTATGTGAGTTATATAATGATTTTGTAAATTTTACTTAAAATAATTTTTTCTTTGTAACGTTAGTAAATTACTATTTATTTGACAACAATAATTTCAAAGCTTAAAACATTTAACCTTGAGCACACATGCACTTAATAAATAATAGGTCCAAGGAAAAATATGACAAAGATTTATTAAGTAATGTTCTTTTTAGATCTTAGGTCGAGAGGCATCATTTTCTGTTCCTCTTCATACAATTGAAAGAAAATTTAAGTTCTATCCCATGTCTAAATCCAGAGGTAGAGGCAGATTTTTCATAGGTACTAGTAATAATAATTTTTTTTATAAAAAAAAAGTGACAACAAAGAGCATAAGCTATTTGATGCTTATCTCTTCCTATTTTTTTTTAATATTTTTTATGATCTAATCTTTAATTAATATTCCTTTCACTTGCCTCATCTTTAGTGTACATGATCAATGTTGGTGGGACGTATAAGGGGCATTCTTGCACTTAAGGTGGGTCTGTTTAGAGAAACATGAGTTGAATGTGATGATGGGACAATATTATTATGTATGTGGAGCATTAAGATAAGTTTAGTTTGAATATAAACCTCATAACCCCACTAGTCTCCATTGGCTTTAATGCTGTTTAATATGTCTTTTTCTCATAATTTTGTCTATACTTACTGATGTAACATATCTCTATTTAATTATGCACAGTTTTGATTCTTTTATAACATGAAATGATTAGTTTCAAAGTTATATTTCAACTTAATTTGATTTTTTCTTATAAATGATTCAAAGTATCCATAGACATAGTTATGGCCTATGGTATAACACGGTCATTGTCCTTTAACTATGCTTTATCTTTCAAAATCATATGTTATCATATTAACAATAATTGACCAAAGACATTTAAGCATGGCATTGGGCAAAACCAACTTTACATTACACTGAAGCTTGACGTGTGAGATGATTTCATTTTAAATGAAACTTAATTAGTTGTTAATTACAAAATGAAAATACTTAGAATAATATATGTTTTTACTCCCATAAAATGAACAGGTTTATATTTAGGTATCTATCAATTATTTTCTTTCATTTTTCTAAGATTTGAAATTATTATTAATCCAATTCATTATCATATGATCATTTTCAATTATTTATTTATTTATTAAAAAATCAAATGATTATTCAAACATTATTTATTACTATAACTATTAAATTCAGTACTGACACCCTTACAAAATTTATAATTTATTAAAAAAATTATTTATTTATCTTAAAATAATTGTTAAAAATAAAAATAAAAGATAATAATTTTGGATTTTAGAATGATTAAAATTAAAGAAAAATATATTTTAAAAAATAAAAATAAAATTTAGTCATTTTATAAAGATAAAAAGTAATATTTGTAAATTTTAGAAACATAAAAAAAAATTAAAATTATGAAGACA